GGGGGAGAGAGAGTGAGAGAGAGAGTGAGAGAGAGAGAGAGAGAGAGAGAGAGAGAGAGAGAGAGAGAGAGAGAGAGAGAGAGATGGAAGCTTTTCATACTACTGTCATGCTGTGTAGGAAAGGTTCTACAAGGCCACTGAAGAGCTGCTCTGTGAGTCCCTTGAAGGAAGGGCCTGTCTTCATATACTTGGCACACTCCGTGGCTGAGAGACCATGGAAGGCATGGCCTCTATGCAAATGCAGCGATGGGTCGATAAGTGCAGCAGCTGGGCCCCTTGGTCAGTTGCATGCTCTGAATTTCCCCTGTATTGGAGGTGTGTACCACAGATTTCCAGTGCGGCAGAGAAGCTCTGTACCCCTGGGGAAAAGCTTTCACTGACTAGCATTCTGTAAAGCCCTCCATTACTATTCATCTACCTTATCATTATTAAATTAGAGGAAAAAGGAAAGACAAAAAAGTAAAAGCGAATGTTACTCAAGTAACAAAAATCTGCAAAGTTTTTACACCTTTAAATAATGCATCAAATGTTTTATTTCTCCCAGTAGTTCATATGCAAGTAATTGACTCTCAAAACATTTTTAAAAATACAACAATAGATATTATTATACTTTACCAATGGATTACTTCTGTCCTAGGAGATGAAGTAAAAAGGTTACAAATACTTGAAAGTTTATTTTTAAGCCTCTGAGATAATAAGTTTGATTTTTACAAATTTTCTTGGTTCAATGCTGTATAATGCATTTTTAGAATAAACCATCAGTATAATATAATTTCATAAATATCTAGGACATTGTCAATAATTGTGATTCATATGAAAAATATAATCAGATATCCCAATTCCTGATTAAGTCAGTTTTAAATACACAAAATATGAGAACACTTGTTGTGAAATCATTTATAATAATTCTTTTTATAAACTGCAATTAACCACTAATATAGAAATTCAGTTTAAAGCTAGAAGTTTTATACTGTATATGGTACTTTTCTTCACAGAAAAAGAAAGAATGATGTTGGAAAGACAATGACTACCAGAGATCAAACATTTGGGGCTTTGGTAATAGCGTCTTTTAGATTATACATTAAATATAAATAACACTAGGAAAATTTTTTAAAGTTTTATGGTCAGGCCTTAAAAAACATGAATAATGATGAAAAAACCACGATCATATATAAACAAAAATACAGCAAACCAAGCATATTCACATCTTCATCTCATCATTAATTCACTGATTTGAAATAAATGCCATGTTAAACACCAAGTGCAAATCTAAAGGTTCATTTGAAAAAAATAAGTATTTTTGAGTATTTAAAAAAAATTTTTAATAGGCAGTGTATTTTTGACCAAGAAAAGTGAGATGCACAAATACTGTAGTGAATTGATTCTCATAGGCCTGATCCCTCAAAAAAACACAACTAACACTTATTTTCCACAATTTTGTAATATATGCCTCATTTTACTTCCATATAAAGCAACTAGGAACTTTTCATTCTTCCTAATAAGTATTTAAAATACACTTCTAGGTTTGCATTAGAACTAAATGTTAATTTATGATGTCTTTAAAGTCTTTTAACTTCTAGGAAACAATTTCTGGGAATATAAAAATATAGAATTTTACATATTTCAGAGTCTTGAAAAACTTAAAGTGTAACATTTTCATGTATTAGCAAATTATACTTGTGCCATATAAGCTCATCCTGAAGGAGTAAGTAACTTCCAACATTTTGTGAATGCTGCACTACAAGAACATTTAGATATTGTAAGGTGTGATTGTCCATATTTCTTTCATTAGAGTGCAAGGAGGAAAAACAAAATAAAATAAATACCAAAATAAAACATATTTTGTTAAGAGAAAAACAGTGTTTTCGTGAAAAGAAAATGGAAAAAATGTCAATTCTCCCATTAGCTGCTTGTCTTCAAATCAATTACCTGGTTTACTACAAATGTTATCTCAGTTCAATTATCGAACAAATTACCCTTAAACAAAATGTCAAAGTGTCCAACATTTGTCCATGAGCAGAACCTTTCAAAGAACACTAGTGATTCTAAGCTCCTCTCTTATTCTTCAGTAAGGTTTGTAATTAAAAATAAGCCTACTGCTCTTTGCTTCATAGTTTTAATATTAGTGAAAATTTCACTCTGAGCTTGAAGTGATGCTTCTTCAAGAGTCTGAGTCATTCATACGGCAGTGTAGAAATGCACTGGTGACATACACATGGCTACAAAATTGGAGTAAAAACTAAAAAGAAAAAAACCCAAAACCAGAAAAATAAAATAAAGAGACTGCTTGAAAATTGTCTTTAGACAAAGCAGAGTATTTACAGATAAGACTGGTGACTGGATTTTTCCTCAGGTGTAGCCCTCTGGGATCTGTGACTAAGATGGTATCTGGGGCCTGAGAAATCTCAGGGATGATTGCTTCATCAATTTTTGCTGGTGTCTTGTTGACTGTGCATCTTCAATGGCATTATACGCTCTCTGCAAAACAAAATACTTATTATGAATTTTAAAGACAAGTACAGGCTCTTCTGGTGGAAGAGAACAGTACAAAAGGAAGAACAGGAGCTTGCTACACAGGCCAACAGCTGAGGACAAGGACACAGGCCAAACATGTCACACAAAGCAAGACCCTCCTCCTGCCCTACTGAGTCCAAAGTATGCTATGTTAAACTTACATATCCACCCAAAGTTATAACTGGAATAACTCTGGGGACCAATAATGGGTACTGTTAATTGTAACACGACAGGCTTAAAAAAAAATCTTTCAGCTAAAAACCTTGAGCGGTGCTCTTTAAAATAAACTGTTTACCTCTGCTGTGGCAGTATCCTTCAGGTAAACCTTCCGAAGACATCCTTGACTGGCACTGTCTTTTATATGGAACAGCCCCTGATCCTGTTTCAAAAGAAACAATGACAAAAACAAAATTATTTTGGGGCAGAAAAAAAATCATAATCTTTAACTGCATGCTTAAATGTCAACTCTATTTTATAACCAATATACTAAGCAAATACAAATATGCGAGTATGATATGAAATAAATCATCTTGGTACAAGGAGAAATGTTCTATATGTGAGTTGTTAGAATTTATAAAATTAGATGAATATATATCTATCTGTATAAAATAATGGCTTTCTGCAGGCTATGATAAACAACCTACAGAAATACCACTTGATAACTCATCACACCTGACAAATCAAAAAACCCTTCCTTCATTTCCTTGGCTGATAGATAAAATTCTTATATAATGTAAAATACATTGAGTCAATTCTTACCACTGATGTGAAAGAAAAGTGATAACTGAGAACACTAAAATATATGCACAGTGACAAAGTCTTTCCTAGTTTGAAAACTATGCTTCATACACCAAAGCATTCTTTAGCTTCTGATACTCCACAAGAAGGTAACACTAAAATATAAAATGGTACAGTGACATGGTAGTTCTTTTATTTGTAAACTTTCATGGCAGGAAAAGTAAACATGAAATTAAAGGATGACTATACTCACATCGCTATTAAATTTTGTGGTAAATGTTTTCAGATAGTTTTACTAAGAGAAATAACATTGTTGTTTAAAATAAACAAATATACTACAGAAATTATCATATCTGGAACAACAATTTGCAATTTTTTAAAGGTATGAAAATAAATTTGTTTTGTTTTGTTTTGTTTTAAGTTGGAGTCTCACTATGTCACCCAGACTGGAGTGCAGTGGCCACTCCCGACCACCGCAGCCTTGACCTGCTGGGTGCTGGCGATCCTGCCGCCTCAGCCTTCCAAGTAGCTGGAACTACAGGCGCGCGCTACCACGCCCAGCTAATTTTTGATTTATTGTAGAGATGAGGTCTCGCCAAGTTGCCCGGGTGGGTCTCGAACCCGCGGGCTCAGGCAATTCACTCACCTCAGCCTTCCAAGGTGCAGGATTACAGGCTGAGCCACTGAGCCTGGCTAAAACTTTTTTTTTTGAGTTGGAGTCTCACTCTGTCGCCCAGACTGGAGTGCAGTGGCCACTCCTGGCCACCGCAGCCTTGACCTGCTGGGCTCCGGCAATCCTTCCGCCTCAGCCTTCCAAGTAGCTGGAACTACAGGTGTGCGCTACCACGCCCGGCTAAGTTTTTTATTTATTGTAGAGATGAGGTCTCACCAAGTAGCCCAGGCGGGTCTCAAACCCGTGGGGGCTCAGGCAATTCACTCACCTCAGTCAATAAATTTTAAAATATATTAAATGTAATATAATAAACACATTTTTCAAAGGAAGTACTTGAGCCTGTGAACTAAGCAAAAAATGGGGTATCATTTTTGCTAATTACTATGTAATCAAAATAAAAGTGCTTCCTTAGAAAATAATGGAGAAGATAGACATAAAAATACTGTTACATACTTAAATTGTATTAGCATTCCATAAATGCCAAATATTATAAAACATAGGTAATTCTTGATATAATATCTATTTTTACTAAATCTTTTGCTAATTTGAAAATCTTTACAGAACTGTCTAAGATTATAGCAAAATAAGGGTCCATATGAAGTTAAAAAAAAAAACCTATTTACTACTGCTTAATTCTAACAAAAAAAAGGAAATATCAGCATATCAGAATACTAATTCTTTGGGCAGGTAGACTAGTATTTCACTCTAAGCAATCAAGGACTGTCAGGAAATAAAGTACAGTTACACAAATAAGTTGATTATATCTTTACATCTCAGCATATAATAATAATAATGATGATGGCATTAATCCTTCAAACATGTTGTGTAGCTAACTGCAAAACAATCTGAAAGCAATACATTCTTGGCTCTAAAGATATGATTCATGTTTCCTTACCTTAATTGAAAATTTCAGCATATTTTCATTGACACTAGGAGGAAATACAAAATCTTCAAATGGACACTGCCAGTCCACGGACATGTGACCTAGGATTTCAACTTCCTTAACACACAAAACTCGCCTATTTAGCAAAAGAAAAAAAAAAAACGTACAGGTAGTGATAAAGACAGTCAATTATTCTCATTAATATTTCATTCTGCTAGATTGCACAGGTAGCATTTGATTAGTAAATAATAAAAACTGAACCTAAAAAAAAAGCACTTGACATAAAAAAATCTAGATAACTGTCATAGAGCAAATATAACAACTATCAACTAACAATGCAGATTCTCAAAAATTCCCCTTCTGCCAATCTTGCAGAATTCAGAAAAGGGTAACTTTTTTTTTAAGCTGACTGATAACCTGATAGGAAAATCATCTTTGAAACACATAAGGAACAGGCTACACACTCATCTGGGAACAATAAGGCAGGAGCCCCTGAAATGTTTTATTTGGAAAATGATTAACTGCTCTTTACTGTCAGTCATTTATGCCTTCCAGTCAGGAAAGAGTGTGAAGGAAATGTCACAAACTTCAAATGTCAGCAAAGATTCATTGCAGGTCTACTAATAAATATCAGGTTTGAACACTTTAACACTAGTATACTTTATCACAGAGTCAGTATCTCATTTTACTCACTAGCAATAAAAAAAATAGAATCTTTAAAGGGCATCTACATTGATTTCCCAGTGTGTTATTCGGTTTAATTACTGATATAACTATACTTGATTTTAAGTTTTTATCACAGAAAGCAAAACTAGAAAGTTAGAAGAATCATTAACTCAACAAACACCTAGAGTGCCAGAGAACAAGGAGGATGAAAAACAGGCTAGAAGAGTAAATAAACATAAATAAATGCTACAGCACAATCAGACACGCGCTACAGCAGAGTATGCAAACCTTCTGGAGCACAGGGGACAGGGGCAGCATGTAAGCAGGTGGTAAAGCAGGTGGCATAAAATGAAGATCTCTGTGTGGGAAAGGGGAGACAATAATCCAGACAAAGGGGACGGCATGTATATAAGGACCAAAAGGGCAGACTTCTCTGAGGACTGTGGAGGTCTGCAGCAGAAGTGCCAGATACACACAGTGGTGACGGGGTGAGAAACGAGCTTACTGCCAGATCTTGAAGAACTTTTCTTTTTGTCATTTTAAGAAATTTCAACTTTAGTCTACAGGAATGGAAATAACACATAACGTTTCTTATTTTAGAGTCACAGTTCTAGTGGCCAACAGAAGGGAGGTGGTGGAGAGACTGGCAGCAGACAATCAAGGTAAGCAGTTGCTGCAATAGTCCAATCTGTAGACTCAGGGAGGCAGTAGCTCTGAGAAGGGTAAGAGAAGGCTAGGCTCCAGATGTTTACAAGGTGGATGGGAATGCAGGTGGTGACCAATGGGGAGTGGGGACTGAAATAGACCCTAGCACTGTGTTTCTCAGCAAAGGTGCTTCTGAAATGCCAGGCTTGTTTTAGACTGTGTTATACACAGTAGGAAGTTCAGCATCCTAGCCTCAGCCTTGTAAGTGTCGGCCATGTCCTCCAATCACTGTGGTAATCTCCAGCTCCCATATGTTTCAAAACAATCTCTAGGAAGTGGACACCACTTCCTGCAACTCCAGCCCCAGTTGATAATCAGATGGCAGAACTAAGAGTTAAAGAGGGCTGTTACAAGGACACAGGGGTCTTAGTCCTACAGCTGTAGGAACTGAATCCTGCCAACAACTTTAAGTGAGCTTGTGGATTCTGCTGAAATTTGTTGTGCAGTAAGAGAACACTTAAATAATCTCTAACTGGTCTCCCTGCCTCCAATCTTCAACTCAGCATCTAAACTGCCAGGGATCTTTAAAAACTGCAGACCTCACCTCACCACATTATGCCTTGTTTACAAGTGGGATAGAAAAAAAGAGAGATTACTCTTGCGTGTACTGTGTGCACATACCTGTGTGTGAGAAGCTGTGAGCGATACCAAATAATAAAATAACAGACAAAAGCCCAGTTACAAAAATCCGGTAATTCTCTATCACGTTGATGTTTTTTATAAAACCCAGACCCTTAAGATTTTATGAGCAATAACCTATGACTCTTGTTTCATCCCCCAACGCATCCCCACTAGCATCCTACCAACTAGCCATCGCGAGTTGATTTTACTGGTCAAAGTGCCATATGTTTGCACCTCTACTTGCCTTTCGTTTACCTGTGTGGTAGCTACATACTCTAAGAGTCGGCTCAGGTGACTCCTCAACTAAAAAGCCTCCCTGACCCCTTCCCCATAACACTTTGGTCCCCATCTTGCTGGACCAAGAGTTTTTCCTATGTCCTCAGAGTCTCATTCCATCACTTTTTTTTGTAGAAACCCTCCTTCAGATGGAAAGAGATAGAGATGTAACTTTAATCTCTGTACCTTGGTATCTGTCATATGTTTATGATAAAAAACAATGATAAAATTCTCAATAAAGATTACTGAAATAAATTATGGCAGAGTTAGGATTACCTAGTGAAAGCTATAGCCTGAAATATGGAGGTCATGAAAACTTGTGTTTTGTTAATGAAAACTCTTAAGAAAAAAATATTGAGACCAAATTTTGGGTGAATTTCAATATAGAAAAATTAATGGTGCTATATATTAGAAAATCCAACAAATAACAATATATCGATAAACATTGGTTAAAAATGACTTATATCATTAATTTGCAAAATGCTTTTTAAAGTAAGAAAGAAAAAGGCTAACATACCAGCAAAAAACAAGTTAAAAATCTAAACAAGTAATTCGCAGAGCAGAAAATATAAATAGATGACGATATATTCAAATGTTTATACTCATTTAGTAATCAAAGAAATGCCAATTAAAACAAAAATTATTTTCCATCCATTAAGCTAGCAAACATAAAAGTTTAAATGATAATTACCTAGTCTCAGCAAAACAGCATCACAATATATGACTTTTCATATCACTCACATGACTTATATTGTGAGTAGTCTAAATCATATATTGTGAGTTATATGTGAAAAACTGATATAACCTTTCTGAAAAATGACTTGAAAATATATAGAACAGATCTCAAACATCTTCACAGCTTTTGAACCAGCAATCTCAATTTTAAGAATTTATTCTAAGAAAATAACAGAAAAAAATATTTTGCTACAAATACATAATATCAAGAAACAGAAAACAATGTCAAATAGTAAGGGAGTCTTTAAATAAATTATAGCATATTGACAAATACAAAATTATGCAGTCATTAAAAATCATGTTGCCAAAGAATAGTTGATGGTTTGGGAAGATGATCACAGTATGCTGTTACATGAAAAACCTACGTTACTAAAATGTACACAGTTTTTGTAAAATATATATTGCAAAAATCTGATATGCCAGTTAATAGCAGCCATCTCTAGATGGTAAGACTGGTGGTAAAGAATATTTTAGAGGTCATCACATAATTTATTATTCAAACCAAAACATGTATAAGAATAAAAGGAGTAGCTATTAATAATCACATTGGGATAAAGATACAAACCTGTCATGGCCTAGGTAAACCAGAAAGATATGGTTACTTTAGTTATAGTCATTGTTTTAATTACTTAAATGGGGTGGCAAACTATGGCTTTCAAGCCACATATAGCCCAGCGCTTGTTTTAATAAACAAAATGTTACACAAATGCAGCCATGCTCATTCTTTTACATATTGTTCATGGTGTTTTCTCACTACAAGGGCAGAGTTAAAAGGTGGAGAAACAGTCCTCAGAGCCCTTAATAGTTACTATCTAGCCCTCTGAAGAAAGTCTGCTGGCCTGGTGCAGTGGCTCATGCCTATAATCCCAGCATTTTGGGAGGCTGAGGTGAGAGGATTGCATGAGTCCAGGAGTTCGCGACCAGCCTGGGCAATACAGTGAGACAAGACCTCATCACTATAATGAATAAGAAAAATTAGCCGGGTATGATGGCGCATGCCTAGTCCCAGCTACTTGGAAGGCTGAGATGGAAGGATTGCCTAAGCCCAGCAGGTCAAGGCTGCAGTGGCTGTGAGCATGCCACTGCACTTCACCTGGGTGACAGAGTAAAACTCTGACTCAAAAAAAAAAAAGTCTGCTGACTCCTGATATACATTATCTGGAATGAATAAGTACAACTTTAGCAATAAAAAATAAAAATCGAGCTGGACATAGTGGCACACACATGTAGACCTAGCCACTCAGGAGACTAAAGCAGGAAAATCATTTGAGCCCAGAAGTTCGAGTCCAGCCTGGGCAATACGGTGAGACATCATCTCTTCAAAGAAAATTATTTTTAAGAGTACTAAATTTGGAAGAAATGCTAATATTTTTATGTAATCATCAAAGGTCAAACAGATTAGCAAAATGATATTAATAACTAACTAAATCATCGAAATTCCTGTAGACAAAGTATACTGAAGCTAGCAAGGAAACTAAGTCATTTTACTGGTCAGGAATATTATTTTACTAATTGCCTCCTAAAAAAGCTCCATCAGTGAATACATTTTAAATTGCCATGATGTTAAAATTTACTTGAAGAAAAAAACAGACATATAATGTATACAGTAATAGTCCCACAGAATGCCTTCAAATCAAATACTAAAATAGTATGGTATTACTAATTGATTCCCACTGCCTAGTACTGAATTATATAAAGGATATATGATTTAAAAATGAATTAACACATTGTTACTTTCAGCTAAATATATAATAGATACAAACATTTTTGGTTTAACCTAGTGAAAAAAGCATAAAATTATGGGCATAAAAAGTAAGTGATTACTTTTCAAGGTCATAAAATCTTTTTTTAATTACCTTGTGAGTATTTTCCCCTCTTGACTGATGGGAAAATTAGATGGCTGGATAACCTTCTCTTTGAAAAACATATAGGTTTGAAAGTCTGAATCCTATCATTCAGCTTTCCTTTCTTTCCTTCTAATCCAAATAGACATAAATGCAGTAGTGAGGAATCGAATGCAGATTTTGCTTGCTTTGCCTCAATTTTACAAAACACATAACTTATAAAGCTCTGAAAATTAGTCATCTGTAATTGTCATTTGGGAATAAGTTTATTATCTAGAGTGAATCCCAGGACATCAAACTTGGTAGCTTAGTTCAAGTTCATTTATTTGGAAAAATTACCTACCACTTCCAAATGCTTAGGAAAATCTGGGATAAAACACAGAAATGATGTTATCCCATGAAAGGTGTATGTTAATCACCCCAGGTAAAACCTAGTATTAAAAAGTGATTCCTAGCCAGGCTCGGTGGCTCAGCCTGTAATCCCGTGCTTTGGGAGGCTGAGGTGAGTGAATTGCCTGAGCCCGCGGGTTTGAGACCCGCCTGGGCAACTTGGTGAGACCTCATCGCTACAACAAATCAAAAAATTAGCCGGGTGTGGTAGTGCACGCCTGTAGTTCCAGCACATGGAAGGCTGAGGTGGAAGGATCACCAGAGTCCAACAGGTGGAGGTTGCAGTGGCCGGGAGCGGCCACTACACTCCAGTCTGGGTGACAGAGTGAGACTCTAAC